ACGATTTCGTTTCCGTACAAAAAGATGCTGCTTTCTTCAGATGAGATTGAAACTTATCGCTGTCCTTCAAACGTGCATAGACAAAACAACCGCGAAATTCAGTTTCAAAACAGTCTCGGAAATGAACGCATTTGGGTGGCAATTGGAAAATGATCTGCAGATAGTACGGATAAAGATTGGTGGTATTGAATAGACGATAGATGACACACGAATCGTGTTGTACCACCGAGTCAAACAATGTGCAGTTTTGGGCATTTTATTGGTTGAATAATATCACTGGTTTGCTTGCTTGCGAAATGAATAATCAAACAACGTTCACTAGGCTTTTGGAATGGAAAATTCGAATACGATCCACTAGATGATATCGGAGTGGATTTGATTCAACCAACCGCCACAAAAAGGAGAAGACAATCATCAATCCATGCACATTTCTAGCAAGATAGTTTGTAACAATAATAAACCGTAACATCGATTTTCGCTCTTGAATGTGAGCAGTTCGTAAAATTATCCATTGATTTCAATACATTTTATGCGCGCTTTTCAGTTGGATGATAGTCATTTATCGATGATATTCAATACCTGATTTTGGGTTGAATGCTGATGGATTCTGTTGTTGACAATTAACATTCAACACAGATTGAGACGGATATTGATGTGGCAATGAGAATCGCCGGTGATCAGACACAGCTGTTTGATATAATGATGCGGCGTTATGATTAGGGTTATCACTGATACGAGATGTCGACGAAGAAATTTTATCGGACGCTAGTAATTTCAATTCATCGCTGTTACTGCTGCTATCAAACGAATTTGACTTGACGGGTTTAAAAGATGAATTTGATAATGACATATTTCGATAATACGGTGATATCACTGCGTGTTGTTGCACATATTGCGGTGATATCCTTTCAGTTTTGTTGTCAATACACGAAAGGGAGGCGGCTGATCGCGGTGTGGCGAACCATTCTCCGGCTGAATTTTGCATATTAGTTTGTGATGATGTTACCATAAGATTATTAGGAGCATAGGTAATAGTCGGTCGATTGTGAGCACTTGAATTCGAATCAGAGGAAACTTCATCAGCAGAAACGGTAGCGGGCTGTATAAAACCGCTTGATGTTGACGGAAATGAAACACATCTTGCACTGTTCACACAGCCTTGATTTGCATCATTCACCGCCGCCATTCTATTCGCTTTCAGGTAATGATTCGAACCATTCGGAGAATCTTCTGGATGCATATTATATAAGAGCTCTTTATATCCTTTCGTATCATTATTATCATAGCCAAACGATGGATAACCAGTATGATTCGATGACATTGACGGTGATATCAGTCGTTGAGAATTATACCAACCTGGATAGCCAATTCCAATTGCTAAACTTATGCTGATTTAGGTTCGTCAAATCAATACAACATTTCTTTCATACGCATAATTTGAAGACAGTCATACAAATCTGTTTAATCTGCTTGAATTGTTTCAACAATCTAATAATGCACATATGGATTCACTCAATCGAATATCACTATCAAACCACATTTATGAATTTATTCACTCTAATTAATTATTCAACGCCATTTTCATTGTCTATTCCGAGAATATTATTACAAATCTGTAATCTGCAACTGCGAACCAATGGAATGCCGTTCTGATTCTACTTTAACTATTTATCCTCCCAAAAATTTAACTTATCCTCCTAACTTGTCGATACTTCTCGAGAAATTCAAGCTCCTATCACTTCAACCCNCAAAAATTTAACTTATCCTCCTAACTTGTCGATACTTCTCGAGAAATTCAAGCTCCTATCACTTCAACCCTGTTCTTTATCATCTTCACGACTGTCACTTATTATTATACTGTTCATTATTGTTATTATTTAATTAGCTATTATTGTTACTATCGCTGTGATTGATATGCTGCTTACAATCGATATTACTATAACTCATTCGCATAACATTCATTTGCCTTACTGAAACAACACTATGCTCACAATCAGTATTCATCATGCACAAACAATCAGTCAGCATCATATAATTTCACATCTGTAATAAATATCACTGTGATATTTGAATGATAGAGTGCTATTATTATGCGTTCGTTCGTAAATATACATCACAACAAACATCTTTTGAATATCCCAAAAATCTACTTTTTTCAATGATAATAATAGCATTTCGATCGTTGTACTACAACGAAAGATATTTGAAATGGCATTCAGTTCGAATCACATCATTATTCATTGTACACTCCTCTTATTTCAGTTATTCTA